TCAAGCTTTAAATGCATACCCATAAGAGTATTCTGAATTTTGAAAAAGCTATTTGCAAAGGAAATACAAAGATGAAAGTCCATACAACAATTAGAGAGAAGAAAGAGTACCGGAAGAAGGATAAAAGTCTCGACACTCAGGTATATCAAAAAGGCCGATAATTGTAAAAGTTATAGGAATTTCTGATCAAATATGGCGATTTATGAATGTGATATTGGCTTGGGGTCACAAATTGAATGGCGTAAATATCAAAGAACTTTCATCTGTTAATATCGTAATTATCGATTAATTTTATGACTTTTGTCGTGATCTAGATGCTAAAATGGGTTCCTTGGAAAGGGGAAAAATGGAAGATACGCATGAAAAAAAGCATTTTGATATTTCTCAATAGCCATGCTTTCATACATTCTAATAAAAGTCCATTTGCCTATTTTAAACTGATTTGATATAATTCCAAAGAGTAAATGGATTTTCGAAAAGTGATAAAAGATCTTAAAATCTAGTTCAAAGGAAGACTGAACCCCTATATTGCTTTTAAGATGTGTATCCATGCACAATGTGTTTGACTATAGAACTCTAGATATGATGAAGATGATTCACAGTGACTCTCACTGAGTCAAGAAAAGAGAGAGAGAGAGAGAGAGAGAGGAGGGGGGGGGGGGCAGGCCGGGAGAGAAAGAAACAAAAAAGCAGAGATAGATAGAGAGAGAGATATAGAAGGAGAGAGAAAGAGTGGGACAGGTAAAAATTGGAGAGAAAGAGAGAGAGAGAGAGAGAGAGAGGTAGAGGTAGAAGTGCAGAGAGAGAGAGAGAGAGAGCGAGGAGTGTAGAGAGAAAGAGAAAGGTAGAAGTGGAGAAAGAAAGGTATACTTGTAGAGAGAGTGTGAGAGAGAAAATAAATAGAATAAAAAAGGGCAATTATTCTACACCACATGGCTAAGCAGGAAATATATTAATGAATATGAATGATTTCATCACCTTCGATACAGCTTGTCATGCAACCCTGTTTATTTTTTTATAGCGCTATTGTTCACACATAGGTGGCGTGTGCCTCCGTTCTTCTCTCCCTTGAATTCTCGAAGAGACAGGGCGTTTCCGCCTGACTATATCAGTTTGTCAATTCCATCACACAGGCATTTCCTTCAAAATTAACTGCACGCTTTTAAGCAAGTTTCTAAGGTCCCTTTGTTCAAGCACGATACGAAGAAGAAGAAAAAATGGACCTGCACTAGCTGCATTGGAACGCGTGTGGTTCGTGTTAGCCTCCAGGTTTTCACATTAAGGATGAGAATGAAATAAGTAAAAAAAACATAATCGTGATTTCCCTCGAAAGGCAAATAGTTTTGCTGTTCAGTTGATTTTATCGTGAATAAACACAAACAATATACATCAAAGGTTGAAGGCCTTGTCATCCGGAAATCAATTAAAGAATTACTTCGTTGCCCTTAACGTTGGAATAATTTAGTTAAAAACCTTTTTTCATTGTGACAGTAATATTCTTTGTTTAGTTGATTTTATTATGAATAAAATAAACAATACATGTCAAGGATTGAAGGCCTTGTCATCCGGATGTCAATCAAAGAATTACACCGTTGCCCAAAAAGTTGAAATAATTTTTTTCATTGTGACAATATGATATATTCTTGAGTCAAGGTTATATTTTCTCAGATATTACGAATACGATATATTCTTGAGTCAAGGTTATATTTTCTTAGATATTACGACTGCTCAGCTTAACCATTAACGTTTTGGGAAGATTTATCAAGAATAAGAACCACACACCCGTTTTTGTTCTTTTGTTTTGTTTTTTGTTTTATATATTTGAAAACGTATTATGTAAAGGGAACCTTAATTTCAAGCATGATGCTTCAAATGTTTCCTCCTCCTCATTACTGCAGATTATTGTTAGCATCACTTGTATTTAATGACTTGCCATTGAATCGTTTTGTTACTGTTTTGTTACTGTTGTATCTATCGAATACTATGTACATGTTTTGTTACCTTGTATATGCCTTACTTTGTAAACTCTTTTCATCTGCAGTTAATGTGGAAATAAAACCTAAATAAAAATAAAAATAAAAATAATATCACAATCATAATGTGAACGAACGAACGAATATGAAAAGAAGGAAGAAAAAAATATTCCAACGTTATGAGCAACATTGTATTATCGTTGAAATTCTAATATTATATATATTTGTTATATTTGGTTATATTAAAACATCTCATACATTATACAAATTAAAATGAAGCACATGTAATTCAAATATATCATTATCATAATACAAAATGATGATAAATATAATATGAGTAGAAACCGAGATTATGGATACAAAACTTATCATTCTAATATTATTGATGTATTAATGGAATTTCATATTTTACAAGAAATTCGACAAGTACGTGCAACCAGGTTATAGGAATATATTTAAACGTCTTTTTATAGGACATTGACCAACTTAAATCTTAGAAAAATCAATGAAATTTCAATTGTTATCTTTTTTCAATTCCATATTTCGAAAATTAGTATGACGAACATATTTCGGAAAACTTACACAACAAGAATGTGCCAAATTAGCTCTTATTTTTCTTATGAATGCGCGTTGAAATTTACTTCATAACGTCGGAATTTAACATGCTTAATGAGACATTCGAAGGGTAGTAATTATCGGTAATTACAAAATACAGGGTTACTAATGCAAACCCATCGCTTGGCCTAAATCACTATGTTTTTCGTGATAATGAGTTCGCTAATTAAAATAATAACCCCGCTCTGGAATCGGTGATTACGTTGGTGGTTATCATATTCTTCGCCACTCCTAAACACTACTAAACAGAGATGGCAGAAAGTCTTTCAAAGTGAGGGGGGCACCCACGAAAAGGGCTCTTTCTGGAAAAAAAAGGGGGGCATGTACAAAGAGAAACCTCAAAGCGACATTGGTTTATACCCCTACATTTTAATGTTTGTGATTAAATTATCAGGGATGATTTAAATGTTTGTTTCTCTCTTTTCCTGGTCCAATTTCTTGCTTAAGCATTATACTTTGCAGTTGCAGGAGCATTTTTGACAAGGGGAAGAGGATCTGTATAACAAGGAAATGGGGCACTTATCAGAAGGAAAAAAGGGCACTTGTTAGAACGAAATAGTAGCAATTATCAAAAATGGGAGAGGCAATTATCTCAGAGGAAAAGGGGCACCTGTCAAATAAAACGGGCACCTCTCAGATTTGAAAGGGGGGCACTTATTCCGAAAGGAGCACGTCAATAACAAAAATAAGAAAGAAGTGAAAAGGAGCATTTAAACTACTACCTAAAAATGGGCATTTACTAGAGATGAAAAGGGCATTTATGAGAATGGAAAAGGGACACTTATTGCCAAGGAAAAGGGGCACTTATCATATTTTAATAGGGGAATTTATCAGAGGTAACATTATCTTGAAAAATTGGAGGCACTAATAACAAGAAAAATGGGCACTTATTAAAAAAAGAAAAGGAGCATGTGTCAAAATAAAAGGGACATTTATCAGAGGTGAACAAGGGCACGTGTTAGGAGGGGAAGGGGCACTTCTTACAAAGGAAAAGGACCACATTTCCTGCGTAAAAAGAAGCAGTTGTTTGTTTTAGTCCTCGGAAAAGTATCATCCCTTGCCCCCTCCCCGCCCCCCCCCCCGGAGCGCCGCCTCTACTGTTAAATGCAGTTTTACCAGTAGACCAGATCTGGGTCGTTTGAATTATTTTAAATTTCAGTACGTGAGCGCGCTCACCCCATGTTTTTTAAACAAAAATAAATTATGAGAAAGAAAATTCTTTTTGTTAAATATTCATGCCACACTAGGCATGGTTATTATCATACCAACACTATTTCCCTGCAATTATTTTGCACCTAAAAAGGTGTGCAGGTTCAGTTGCCACTGCATTAATTTAATTATTCCAAAGCATCCTGCTAATCAATTTTATACGAGTCGTCGAGTCAGCGTTAGTCTGTATGCTAATTGGCGACACACTATTTGAATACTCTGAACAAAGAGATTTACCATAATAATTTTAAATTAACACAGTGCTCAATTTTAAGGAAAAAAACGTGAAATTTTGATAGCAAAAAACCAAGATAAGGTTTAATACTGGTAAGTGGAAGCAGTATATTTGCAGGCTATTGTATCTCTTTTATTAACATGTGGAAGAAAATCAAACATCTCGCCATGGAGATGACTAGTGAGGAAAACGGTCTTTTCTGGTCCTTAAACGAAAAGTACCATAACTGCCCCCTTCCCGCCCCCCCCCCCCCCCCCCGGAGCGCCGCCTCTGTTGCTAAATACATCTTGGTCGTTTGAAGAAAAAAATTACCTCTGAGTGCGTGCGCGCGCTCTCCCGCGAATCTACCATTCCACACGTCCGTATCGTGCGTAATTTGCTGAGCGGATAATTATTATTTTTTTTTTGTAGATTTTTTGTTGTAGTTATTTCATTCATTATCAGTTATAATATGGACACATGGGAATATAAATTCCCAGAGTAATAACGAATAACAAACATGAAAGTTACAAGCTTAACACTTTGATCATCACAATATTAAGGTGATATAAGGAGCCATATAAAAAAAACAAAAACGAATTGTTTCGTCGAGAGCACACCGAAATACGCTCGGCTGATATAATAAAACCGTCATTGTGACGATTCATTTCGTCAAGGGCTCACCCAGTGGCGTACGCAGGATTTTTTCAAGGGGGGGGGGGGTTAACATTTTTTAAACGGGCCGAAAATTTAAGGGTAAGAGAATTTTTTTTTTTTTTTTTTTTTTTTTTGGGGGGGGGGTGCCAAAAATTCCGCAACGACTTAGGGGGGGGGGGGGTCATCAAAAGTCACGCACATAAAACAAATTGAGGGGGGTTCAACCCCCCCCCCCCCCAAACCCCCCGCTGCGTACGCGCCTGGGCTCACCTAATATTCTTGACGAGTTTATTGACTGCATGTACCGAATCCGTCAAGCGGACCATATCCAAAGTGACATCGCCACTGATCAACCCATGCATTCACAATTACGGTGGATCAACCGCGAGCGAGCGCCAAATTGCTCCTGACACCACTAAACCTGCTTCACCTTTGTTAATTGCTGTCTGATTGTCGGCACAGCCTGTTCCACCCCTTTCGAACAGACTCAAGAGCTTTGTAAAATCCAAACTTCTTTTAAAATTCATCTTCTTTTCTGATTCGAACTTCTTTACAAGTTAATCAGCAGTTCACGCCGTCTCCTTCTTTACGACCGCTTTCAATTTAATCAGGCGATGTACTTGTTTTGACGTCCTGAGCGGTTCTTTTTTTGAACTTCAAAAGAGGCCATTTGCTTGTAAGGATTGATGATGACCGTGTCTTGAATCTTTTTATTTAGTTAAATCCAGAAGAAGGAACACATTTTTTGCTCAAAGCAAATTTATTTTCATTTCAGGTGTAGAAAGTCATATTCATTTTAGTATGATAATCACAAGAAATAAAAACGGTTTCATGTGCTGATTCGAAAAAGTTGGAAAATATATTTCAAGAACGTTGAGAATATCTAGTTTCCTGGATAGAAAAAAAGATGGTTGAAACAACAGCGACATCGTTGATCACAGATACAAGTCTGGCGGATGTGAACTTTACAATATACGACATCGAGATGACATCGACTGTCAACGTTTCATCAACAAGTATGGACGTGGGCGACGATACCGGAATACACCTGTACGCCGATGAACACGTGTTTAACACGATTCTGCTAGCGGTGACCGTTACGATGACGGCTTTCGGGTGCGTGGGAAATGCACTGGTGATCGGAGCCGTTCTCACGCATCGCAAACTAAGAAACCTCGGTAACGCGTTCGTGGTCAACCTTGCGGTCGCTGATCTCGCCGTCTCGGCGTTCATCAATGCGTTCGGCATAGCCGGCGTTGTCACGACCGGAGCTTTCTTCGACAACAGACATGTCTTGTGTCAAGTAATCGGCGTTATCTGTATCATGAGGTGAGAAAAGTTGCATTCAGAAGGAAAAAAATAAAGTAATTATTTTAAACAAACTGCTTGATGCTATAAGCGATATATGTTTGTTTAGAAACATCATCGTTTATGATAGAAATTCATTAATGATTTCATATCATTTCTCCATTTTTAACTGCCTTATTCCTCCATAGTTTGATTCTTACTAATATTAGAAAGATTTACTAGCATTGTCAATTTTATATCTTTCTTGACTGTTTCAAAGCTTTTACAATTTTATAGTATTCTTAGTATTTCTTTCCTAAGCTTCGATCATGCCGATTTTCTTTTCTGCCAATCGATTTGAATGTTCCTTAAATGCATTCGAGAATTAAGGACATTGCATATTTCAACGACAACAATTATCACACCTTCTATGTTTTCGATAATGGCTGAATTAAAATTTTGGTAAATTATTTCCGAGTAAAATTTGAAATGTGGATAATTTTGGCCCAACATATTGGAAAATCATTGAAAGTTATATCCTGCGAAACTTAGCTCTTTTGGACATAATAGTTAATTCAGTTCTCATGTATTTGTTTGTTCCACATTCCACATAACAAGATTGTCTCATTAACGAGAAAATGCAAAATAAAACAATGATAGACATGTAATATAGAAAATTAATAACGTGAAAAATGGGGAACCTATTAAGAAAGAATAAAGAAAGACGTAAAAAAAGGTCGAGTCACTGACACATTAGCATCATGAATAACATTCAAACATAGAAGTAGTACGTATAAAATACGTGCGTGATGCCATGGTTACCCGACGACAATGATCAAATTTTAAAAACCTAATTTCAGACAGAGTGAGAGGAATGAAATCTAAAATTTATTACAAATTTCAATTTAATAAGGAATATTTGAGCTGACGCTTTGTCGTTGTTTTTATTTCCGTATGATAAAATCAGATAAATACATACAGAGTAATCATACAGAGAAAAAGGACAAAATACGGCTGGTAGCCCATAGTAGCTGCAACTATTCTGATGCTGCTGGTCTTCCATGGGGCCAGTTTATACAATGTAAAAATGTACATAATATTAGAAATGAACAGAATAAATAATTACAAAGTATCAGTGGAAATCATGATATAAATAATTTATTCAAAATATTTAAAAAATACATAATATATACATAGTCATTACGGAGGGAGTAGGGAAAGGGTATTAACTCAAACATGTCTTTCAAACATTCGAGGGTCATGTTATTTAACGTTTTGTGAGTTAAGATTAATAAATGGATTTTTTGCCTTTCACGTTTCATTTACCAAACAAGACGGCTATGAATTTGACTAATAGAAGTATGCAAATAATCTTTTGGAGTTTTACTAAACAGTTGTGGCTGGCAGATTGCCATACTTCATCCCCGTAATCAAAGTGGGGTAAATGATGGAATTATAGATTATTTTCAATTCAGACATATTCACAAATGTCAACACAAATAACAAACCATTTTACTTAGCTTGTTACAAGTTTGTTCAATGTCAACATCCCATTTAATTTTTTTCATCCACATGTACACCGAGATATTTGAAGCATTTTATTGGGACAACCGTTGTTCTTTGATTTTTATATTCAAAAGCGCTTGTTTTTTAAGCAAGTTATGTGTTCCTCAATAAAATGCGTAGCTGATCTTTAAGTTGTTGTTATTCATTCACGCAACAAGGCTATTAATTTCTTTATTTAAAACATTTTCGACCACTTTTGAATTTGTATGTGAATTATATGACCGTGTCATCTGCATAAAGATGGACCTTGCAGGTGTTGAAAGCAGAATTGTTGTCATTAAAAAAAAAATGAACAACAGGGGCCCCAGTATAGTACCTTGCGGCACACCTTTTGTAGTGAATCTTTCATCAGAATATCATCAAATAGTGTTTGAACCACTGTAATTCTACACCAGTTACACCCATAGGTTCAAGGTTTAGATAGAGGGATTAGGTGATCAACCATATCGAAGGCTTTTTACAAATCTACAAAAATTGTTCCAATGTAATTATACCTTTATCGATTTAATAAAACCAGTCATCTGTGACTGTGGTTAGTGCTGTCACGGTGGAGTGTTTTGGACGAAATCCTGTCTGATTTTGGGTAAGCAAGGAATGAGACTATGAATAATCAAGCTATTGTCGTCGAATGACTCTTTCCATAACTTTAGAGGCGCAAGGCAACAGTGAGATCGGCCTGTAATTATTGAAATCATTTGTTTTCCTTTTTTGTGTATCGGCATTACTTTTGCAATTTTCCATTTGTCGGGCACAGTACCCCTTCCGATAAGGATTTGTTGATTAAAAATGTAAAAGACTCGTTTCAAAACATAAGATTGAGATACATTAAAAATTCAAAAAATCTGTCAGAAACCTCCAAACCACGAGAATTAAGCCGGTTATTAGCCCTTTTGTTATTTGTGCAAACATGTTTCGCTTTATTTGCAAAGTGGTTATCAAACTCATTCGCTATTACACTTGAATTTTCTTCGGGGACAGTGCTGTTAAGAAGAATTTTATTATCACCCATTAAACATTTGAGTGTTGTCAAAAATTCATTTCTATTGGTAACTTCAGATAGTTTATCACCGTTGTATTTACGTTCTGATTTTCTTATCTCTGTGTTAACTCTATTTTTCATGCGTTTATAGAGTTTCCATAAGTCATCATTCTGTTTCTTTTTTGGAGGCTTTCAGTTTTGCTTTATCTCTCTGTCTCTATCAAATCAGACCTGAAAGCTTCTAAATCTACATTTCTCGACTTTCTGAACGATTCAAATGTTTCACCTATATGAGTCCCGCTAGAAAGGTAACTTCTGAACCACTCCACGGCCTCCCCAAGAATTACATAATAAAATAAAATGTCATGGTTAATCGTGTCAAAGACCTGGGCGACTTTACAAATTAATAAAAGAATCGCACTCACTACTGTGTCGTTTTGTAACCGACCTATCACATTGCATGTATATGCGTCGCAGATAAAGTGAGATAGTCTAAGAATAATAATGGCTGATAAAAAAAAAATGATACCCGTAAGTGTGTGAAAGAGAAATCAACCCTTTATTCAAGTATGTCATTATGTGTCCTGCTAGACAAGTATACCTCTGAACCACTCCAAGAATTACATGATAAATTAAAATTTCATGGTTAATCGTGTCAAAGACCTGGGCGATAAATGCCTACTTTCAATACACTGAGCTTTCAACCTCCAATAGCAGAAACGACTGAGCGCCAAAGAAGATAATTCTTAAAACCAATCTGTTGCCACTTGGCAAAACACAATTAATTTTCCATTTTCATCAAACAAATCTTCTATATAAAGTTTCATAGTTATTATTGCGTGAAAGACCTTGGCGACTTTACAAATAAATAAAAGAATCGAATGACCGCTGAGTCGTTTTGTAACCGACCTATGGCAGTACATGCACATGAGTCGCAAATCAATTGAGATAGTCAACGAATAATAATGGCTGATAATAATAATATAATATATATATATATATATATATATATATATATATATGTAATAATATAATAATAACTTTTTATAACGTTTTATTTACCCAGGGTAGCCAGTTATGAAACTGCTCTCCCAGCGGGCCCTGCATAACATAATATTACTACCCTTTTCCGATCTAATATGCTGAGCGCCTAGCTAGAAGGCAGAAGGTCATTTGTTATTAGTCTTTGGTATGACTCGGCCGGGGTTCGAACCCACGACCTTCCGTTCATGAGGCACCGGTACCCGTAAGTGTGTGAAAGAGAGATATGAAGAAAGAGAAGTATATGGGCTAATGCCCTCTTGCTCCAAATAGAGGCGGTCCGACAAAGGTTTTAAATTAACGTTCGATTAAAAAGTACATGTACCCTAACTCCGATGCTTGTATTTATAGTCGGAACACTTTTCATTACTTCAGAGTCATAGCCAAAACAAACAAACAAACAAAAGTTGAAATGATTTCTTTAAGAAAAGAATGGGAAAAGGCCATGATACCTATTTTTTAAAAAAAACTATTGAACGAAGGCACATTTTTTTATTGATTCATTTTCGCGAAAATCCCCAAAATAGGTGTTTGCCATATTCGTACAGATGACTGCTTCTTCATTCAGTTCGTGTAAAAGTAACACTTTGTAGAACGAAGGAAATGCGCAGTGAAAAGGGGCTTTTGATCAGAGACCATTAAAACGAATTCGACCCTGATAATTTGTTCGTTTTAATAGAAAAGAAACGGGTCAGTGAAAGTTTGCGCAAAAAACTGATAAAAAATAAGATAGTTATGAATATTTGAATGTGAGATCAATCGTACATAAATTGACAACTTAGTCTGTGACGCATTTTGCGAGATGCACTCCAAATTACCCTGTAATAAAAACTACCAAAAAATATATTTCAGAACATTTTCAATGACACATTCACCGTATATATAATTATTGCAAATATGTTTTTATACAACCCCTGTATGAAACAAGACTATTCCATCATCAATAACTAAGAAAATGAAAGCTCATGAAATTGCCTGTACAGAGCAAATTGGAGAGGAGGTCGCAAGATATATCACATGGTTATCAAATTCTGTTTCACTGATGACAACTTCAAAAATGCAAAGAATGTAGTATTTTAATCGGATGTTGCTCAAAAATCTTATTCATTTGGGTCTCTCATTTTCCTGCTTTTATCAAAGATAATATCAAGTAAAAGTTAAAGAACACGACCGTCCTATAGTGAAATAGTATTTACATAGATGATGACGATTCTTCTTGCATGTATACCATAGGTCTGTTATTGTGCTAATTCAACTCGATCTCTGATCACAATCGCGTTTAACAAAAAATAACCGAAAAGTTGAATTAAAGTAATTAATTCAAGATAACCAATACAATATTGAAAGGGAAGAAAAACACAGGTTAATCCACTCAGAATTGATGAATTCGAATTTCTAAATGTCAATGATCACAAGCCCCCATGCATTTTAATATCCTTCGGGATTAATTTCAATT